AAATAGCTCGTTTCCTGCAGTCTGTCGTTCCCTCCCCAGGCTAACTGGGGAGATTTTATGAAATATTTTTGGAGATCCCTCATGGGGAAATATCTAAGGGTGGTAGGGGTTGAGAAGGAACTCTGGTGCACCAGTGTTTGCATGTTAGATTCTTCTGAAGGATACGTTTGGAGGCAAGGTCCCAAAGGAAGCAAAAGTTTAGGATGGACATTAGCTCAAAACGTAGGATCGGTCAACCATTCAGAAAGACTGTGTTGCTTAAGAGAAGTTCAACTAGGACAGGAAGGCTTTCAAAATTCTTTCTGGCCCCAAAGGATCCAATATCTAGACTGAATGAGAAGAATCAGATCAAGGAACCGAAGTTCCTTCACAAAGTTTCTTCACAAAGGAAGCTTCTTCCTACAGTTCAGTGGTTTGACACAGGAGGGAGGCAAGTTACACCAGAAGGAATCCAGGCATTTGTGATACAGTCTGGAGAGGTGTTTGGACCCAGCCCATGGGATGATGAATGGAGCGTGGGGTGGGGAGAAGGTATCACATGTGACCCTATGAGGATCCTTGGAAAGCTGATTCAGAGCTTGAGGGTAACAGCAGAAAGTAATGATCTCTAAGTTGAAGGATTGAGGGGCGGCATTAGGTACCAGCAGGCAACTTATATGTCAGGATGGAATGAGATGGAGCAGAATTGTCCAATCCATTGACTGGAAGTCAAGACAAGAGACAACAGATTTAAATTTGTAAGGAAGGGGATTGGGAAAATCCAGGAAAAATTCTTAACAGTTAGAGTCAGTCAATGACAGAACTAGCAGCCTTGGGAGACGGCGAGTTCTTCGGAAGAATTTAAACAGAGGTTGGATAGTCATCTGATGGGAATGTTATAAGAATGGATTCCTGTAAAAGACAGGAGATTGGACTAAATCAGCATTTTACAATGTTGAGGACTGTGGACTTCAACTGGCTGGGGAATTCTGGGAATTGAAGTCCACAGATCTGAACACTGAAGCTGAGAAACATTGGGGTAGGTAGGTGATCCTCAAAATGACTCCCAACTTTTGCAGTCTAGGCTTCTGGGATAAATGAATTCATAGCAGTGGGTGCAAACCAACCAAAACAGGAAAGCATCAAAGCTTCCTCTGTGTTTTGCACCCCTCTGAGTCCAAGCTGGGGAAGCGAAGAATGTTTCAATTCAGTCTCAGCGGCTTATGCACCATTAATCCTACTTTGGGGGCAGAATTAGTGAGTTATGTTAGAAATGCTGATATTTAATCCCATCCAAGGGCTAACTGCTAAACTAATTACAGATAGAGTCAAGTCCCCCCCTCTCTCCCCCACCATCTTAAATGTATGGATTTCTTTGAAAAGTATTAACCCCTAAATACTCATAGGCTGATTTCCATAAATACGATATACATTTTCCTAAAAGCATGAAACCCAGAGAGAACCTCTTAGCTGTTTTCTGAAAAATACTGCTAAACAACTTGACACCCCCCCCCCTCCAGCTCACTTGTAAATGTCAAGCTTGGTTTCTAACAACTTTCAAAGTTGCATATCAATATTCCCAAGCCCTTATTATTATTATTTTAAGAATATTTGGGGCATTCGTAAACACTTTGCCAAGAGGAAGTTTTAGCAGCAACCTTAAGTTCCAGATAGAGAAGCGATGCGCGGATGAAATCTGAGAAATAAGTAGCATTTATACTCACTCGTTGGGGTTTCCTATTGGTTCATATATGTACCAATTATCTTCATCAGCAAAGTTTCCGGCAAGTTCCAATCCATCTCTCAATTGCTCTTGGGAAGACATCTCTCTGTTTGCTTTAATTTCCCAGGCAATCAAATCTAAAGAATATCTTTAAAAAAAAGAAAAGGAAACAAGATCTATTCTGAAGTGGAGACTCAATCCTTCCAAAAATTTATCCTGTAGCTGATACACTTTGGCGGTCAAATTAAAAATCTGGCAAGTTTTTTTGGTCCTTCATACAAGCAACTCGGTTTCCTTCTGTCATTTAAGTTGCTTTTCATGCTTTTTTTTTTAACCCCACAGAGGTTTATCCAAAGTGACTTCATCCTGTTTCAGCATTACACGAGAACAAAGGAGGAACAGAGGTTGGTGGTTAAAAAAAAAAAAGAGAGAAAAAAAAACAACAAAAACAAAAAAACCCAACCCCACTACACAAACCAAACTAAGAACCGCCAGTTATGAAAGACTTGGGCTGTGCTCAGAACAAGGAGATTAAAGAAACTAAAGATTTGTTTAACTTGGTTTCTCCCCAAGACTCAGCCTAAGGAGATGAAAGAATTTGAAAAATCATTTTTACTTCTCATACCTATTTGAATGGATGCTCTCTTTTTTTCTTTTTGCAAGAAAAATCCAAGGGAAATATTACCTAGAAATAAAGCTTGACACCCCCACCTCCCAAATCAGCAGTTTCTTGATACCTTACTTTCAAAAGGGACCATTGTTTGATCTGAGAACCTGTGCAGCAAAATATTAAAAATGTATTGCTTTGGGTTTAGGAAAACTCTGCTATGCACCCAATATTTAAGTATAAAATTAATAGGCTGATTATCTGGCTACTCCTATTTGACAGAGGTTTTAGCCATAGAATACAGGAGGATGTTGTAGAGAATTTCTTGAGTTCTTTGCAGAAAAGGTGAGGTGTTAATGTATGGAATAAATAAACCTCACTTTTCATATGCTAAGCCACTTTGCCTCAGCTGTGTAGCTAGTTGAATAAATTGCAGTTAAATGGTGATGCACCACAAACTAAGCCTAAAACATATAAACCACATTATGACTTAATCTGATGAATGAAACTGGTCAAAATCCCAGCTTGTTGTGAAAATCATACAGTTGCAGAAGGATATTCCTGGTTAATAGTAAGACTATGTGGTCCTTGGTATTCTCTGAGCTTGGTTGTTTTCTTGCAGACATTTCATGACCCAACTAGCTAACATCATCAGTGCTAGAAAGGAGTGGAGTTTGGTCTCCACATATATAGAGTGGCTCTCCCCACTAACTGATTAAAACACCTTAGAATCTTGGATAAACCATCGTTCTGGGTTTCTCAACCTTGGCAACTTACAGGTATATGGACCTCAGTTCCCAGACTTTCACAGCCATTGCTGAGAATTCTGCTAGTTGAGGTCCATCACGGTTGAAAAGCATTGCCGTACTTGTCTATGGAGAATCTCAGTCATCCAGGTCACGGTTGTCCCAAAAGTGCTTTTTCAAGAGGCAACTGGACCTTCTTGTTTTTCTTTGAAGACACTTTGCTTCTCATCCAAGATGCTTCTTCAGCTCTGACTGGATGGTGGGGAATGGAAGGATTTATATTCCTTGCAGACAGATGGTCATTTGCCTTCTTTCAGAGAGTTGTTGAGGCCACTCAGAGGTTTATCTATGTCCTCAGGGTCACCTGAGTGGTGCAAGTGGGTGTGGAGCCTTCTTGGAACTGCTGAAAGGACTGTGTTGTAGACTGGTGATAGATGATGTCGGATCCCTCCCCCTCTGTTGAGAGAGGCCTGTTCAAAACTGAATTAAACCCTTCCACTCCCCCCCATCCCATCAGAGCTGAAGAAGCTTCTTGGATGAGACTCGAAACATCTTCAAAGAAAAACAAGGAAGTCCAGTTGCCTCTTGAAAAAGCACCTTTGGGACATTGTCCTACTTGGTTGTAGCTGTGGCTTGTCGGACAAGCCATCAATGGGCTGATTTACCCAGTGGCAGATTGAGCCCAAAGGGAAGAAGCTAGAGGATGGCACATAGCTGCTGTCTCCCAATTTATTCTGCTAGTCCTAGGAGACACAGGGAGCCCGATGGAAATTCTAGACTCCCAACGGGCAGCCAAGATGAAAGACAGAACACACCACCAAGATGAGAAGACTTGTGCTGTGTTGCAGCCTGGCATTTCAGCTCCACCTCGGTTTCACCCTAAACCTGATCTCTTTGCTCCTCTGCCTGACCTCCGCTGGGGAAAGCCACAAGGCTTTGATGGGGAGACAGCACAGGGAGAGATTGATGACTGCAATAAATATTATTCATTTCTCACTTTTTATCACTCCCTGGGGAACGTTTTTTTGCCTCTCGCCCAAATAAATAAAGCGAGAGGGAATCGGGAAGGTCGAGGGGATGGGAGAAGGGGGAATTGAGCATACAGCATGCGGCTTTTAATCAAAATGATAAGAGATCAGTTTCCGGAAGAGCTGTGGAATTTACTGAGTGGGAGGTGATTTCATTCAGTTGAGCTCTGCTCCGAGTTGCCAGAAGGACGAGGGGGTGACATGATAGCCGTGTTCCAGTATCTCAGGGGCTACCCCAGAGAAGAGGGAGTCAAGCTATTCTCCAAAGCACCCGAAGGCAGGACAAGAAGCAACGGGTGGAAACTAATCAAGGAGAGAAGCAACCTAGAACTAAGGAGAAACTTCCTGACAGTTAGAACAATTAACCAGTGGAACCACCTGCCTCCAGAAGCAGTGAATGCTCCAACACTGGAAGTTTTTAAGAAGAGACTGGACGGCCATTTGTCTGAAATGGTATAGGATCTCCTGCTTGAGCAGGGGTTGGACTAGAAGACCTCCAGGGTCTCTTCCAACTCTGTTAGTCTGTTAAATGTGAGAGATATTTTCTTCATCAGACAGACCAGCCCTGCTGTTTTCAAAACAACTTTGCACTGGGAGGTTTCCTGATGGCTCTTGAAATGCCCTTTGCTTCATCCCGGTGGGGTTACTTCCGGCCAGAGCTGTTTGTACAGGTGTCAACTCACAGCGAGGCAGTTGCAAATGTGTGAGATTGCAGCAGGCAATCTTCACAAATTCAACCAGCATCAGAGTTCAAAGGAATCAGGCCAATTGTTATCTTCTGCTTCCAAGCCTTTTAGTGCTCTACATTCCTTCCCCACCTGGCTAATTCCGGGAGGAATACTCAACAAACTCAATGTTTAAGAGATGAACTAAAGAAGAAGAAGTCAGAAGCGCAGGCCTGGATAAAAGAGCCAGACTAGATCCACAATCTGGGTTGGCTAGTCATGAAAAGTTGTAATGTCGATGCTTGGTTATGGCCAAGTCTTGGCATGATCGTGGAGAACTCAGTCCATTGTGGCTTATAAGTCATGGGTTATAGGTTAAGCGTCACAGATGGTTCATGCTACAATGACTTACTCAACAAGTATTTAGTTATTGAGTATTAGGGGTAAACCCATAGACTCACATTGCCGTAAGTCATTAAGTGATGGTTTAGAATGAAGTGGGAATGTAGCCATTGGGGTTTGTAGATAGTGAAGTGGTTCATGTGTAGAGTTTTCCAGCTAATGTGTAGAGCTTCTAAGCTGACTTATGCAAGACCAACATCTGCATTTTTCAGCCAAACTCAGATAATTAATAAAACCATCTAAAGCATTATATAAAAATATGCTTTTTGAGATGAGATTTCATGAAAAGCGGGGCCACCACTGAAAGAACCCTGTCTGCTCATTCCTTCATTCCCTACCTGGCAGTGAACACAATTTTGCCCAGTTGTTTCCAGATGAGTAATGTTGTCTCTTTCTCATCCATGCTAAATGTATCTACGACTTTACTGTCCAAGAAACCATTTAAACCAGTTCCCAGCACACAATAACCCATCTCTCGGTTGGCTTACTTTTGCTTCAGCATCTTATGGAAACCCAGTCATCCTAGCAAATCATGGTTACTGTGTAATGGGAAGGATGGACCTGGCCAATGTTTAAAGTACAGCGCAACAATTTGTGAACTCAGCTATGATTTCATGGTCAACCAATCCAGGTATCCTTAATACTTCTGAAGACACCATTAACTTGGAGCAGTGTTTCTCAACCTTGACAACTTTTTAAGTGGTGTGGATATGTGGACTTTACTAGCCAGCATGGCTGACTGGGGAATTCTGGGAGTTGAAGTCCACACATCTTAGAAGTTGCCATGGTTAAGAAACACCAGCTTAGAGAAATTGGATTCCTGGGACATATCCCCAAAACACATTTTTCAATCTCCTTCTCAAATATGAATTTATGTACCTTCAGAACTACACCACACACTGTCTTGGTTTTTTTGGAGAGCTGTTCAGCCAAACTGTTTCTGAAGAGTTTGTAAAATCTTTTTTTTTTTAGTCCTTTGGGGGAAGAGAAAAAAGCTGAGAGGAGGGTCTACTTTCTTGTAAATAATTTTCTTGCTATTACTCAACTTCTAGCCTACTTGCTCATCCTTTAGCAAATAAACATCAGTGATGATTACAGCCTGTAATGGAACATTGAAGTCCTGATACAAAAGGATACCTCATGGTTTAAGGAGATCAAAGGAAGGGGCGGGGAAAAAACTTCTTAGTCGTCTTTCACAAGGTCAACAAGCCA